GTTGTCATAGATGTTAGGATTATGTTGTCATAGGTGTCAGGATTACGTGTCATAGGTGTTAGGATTATGTTGTCATAGATGTTAGGATTATGTTCACATAGATGTTAGGTTTACGTTGTCATAGATGTTAGGCTCATATTGTCGTAGGTGATAGGATTATGTTGTCGTAGGTGTTAGGCTTATGTTCACATAGATGTTAGGATTATGTTGCCATAGATGTTAGGGTTATGTTCACATAGATGTTAGGATTATGTTCACAAGGATGTTAGGATTATGTTCAGATAGATCTCAGGATTATGTTCACAAAGATGTTAGGATTATGTTCACATAGATGTTGGGATTATGTTCACGAGGATGTTAGGATTATGTTCAGATAGATCTCAGGATTATGTTCACAAAGATGTTAGGATTATGTTGTCATAGATGTTAAGATTATGTTGTCATAGGTGTCAGGATTACGTGTCATAGGTGTTAGGATTGTGTTGTCATAGGTTTTAGGGTTATGTTGTCATATGTGTTAGGATTATGTTCACATAGATGTTAGGTTTATGTTGTCATAGATGTTAGGCTCATATTGTCGTAGGTGATAGGATTATGTTGTCGTAGGTGTTAGGCTTATGTTGTCGTAAAAGTTAGGATTACGTTCTCTTAGGTGTTAGGATTATGTTGTCGTAGGTGTTAGGCTTATGTTGTCGTAAAAGTTAGGATTACGTTCTCTTAGGTGTTAGGATTATGTTGTCGTAGGTGTTAGGCTTATGTTCACATAGATGTTAGGATTATGTTCACATATATGTTAGGATTATGTTCACATAGATGTTAGGTTTATGTTGTCATAGATGTTAGGCTCATATTGTCGTAGGTGTTAGGATTATGTTGTCGTAGGTGTTAGGCTTATGTTGTCGTAAAAGTTAGGATTATGTTCTCTTAGGTGTTAGGATTATGTTGTCGTAGGTGTTAGGATTATGTTGTCATAGGTTTTAGGATTATGTTCACATAGATGTTAGGATTGTGTTTACAAGGATGTTAGGATTATGTTCAGATAGATCTCAGGATTATGTTCACATAGATGTTAGGATTATGTTCACATAGATGTAAGGATTATGTTCACATAGATGTTAGGATTATGTTCAGATAGATCTCAGGATTATGTTCACATAATCCTAACATCTATGTGAACATAATCCTAACATCTATGTGAACATAATCCTGATATCTATCTGAACATAATCCTAACATCCTTGTTCACATAGATGTTAGGATTGTGTTTCCAAGGATGTTAGGATTATGTTCAGATAGATCTGAGGATTATGTTCACATAGATGTTAGTATTATGTTGTCATAGATGTTAGGCTTATGTTGTCGTGGGTGTTAGGATTATGTTGTCGTAGGTGTTAGAATTATGTTGTCGTAGGTGTTAGGCTTATGTTGTCGTAAAAGTTAGGATTATGTTCTCTTAGGTGTTAGGATTATGTTGTCATAGATGCTAGGAATATGTTGTCATAGATGTTAGGATTATGTTCACATAGATGTTAGGATTATGTTGTCATAGGTGTTAGGATTATGTTGTCATAGGTGTTCGGCTTATGTTGTCGTAGTTGTTAGGATTATGTTGTCGTAGGTGTTAGGCTTATGTTAATATAGATGTTAGGATTATGTTGTCATAGATGTTAAGATTATGTTGTCATAGGTGTCAGGATTACTCATAGGTGTTAGGATTATGTTGTCATAGGTGTTAGGGTTATTTTGTCATATGTGTTAGGATTGTGTTCACATAGATGTTAGGATTATGTTGTCATAAGTGTTAGGATTATGTTGTCATAGGTTTTGGGGTTATGTTGTCATATGTGTTAGGATTATGTTCACCTAGATGTTAGGATTATGTTCACATAGATGTTAGGATTATGTTCATATAGATGATAGGATTATGTTGTCATAGGTGTTAGGGTTATTTTGTCATATGTGTTAGGATTATGTTCACATAGATGTTAGGATTATGTTCATATAGATGTTAGGATTATGTTGTCATAAGTGTTAGGATTATGTTGTCATAGGTTTTAGGATTATGTTCACATAGATGTTGGGATTATGTTCACAAGGATGTTAGGATTATGTTCAGATAGATCTCAGGATTATGTTCACATAGATGTTAGGATTATGTTCACATAGATGTTTGGATTATGTTCACATAGATGTTAGGATTCTGCTCACATATATGTTAGGATTATGTTCACATAGATGTTAGGATTATGTTCACATAGATGTTAGGATTATGTTCACAAGGATGTTAGAATTATGTTCAGATAGATCTCAGGATTATGTTCACATAGATGTTTGGATTATGTTCACATAGATGTTTGGATTATGTTCACATAGATGTTAGGATTCTGCTCACATATATGTTAGGATTATGTTCACATAGGTGTTAGGATTATGTTCACATAGATGTTAGGATCATGTTCACATAGATGTTAGGATTATGTTCACATAGATGTTAGGATTATGTTCACATAGATGTTAGGATTCTGCTGCTTTAGCTATATATAGGAGTTATTGGTATAATGTTCACATACGACATGATACGATGATGTTATCATAGGAGGTGTTAGGGTTATTGCATCGGTTTGAAAAAACCTTTATTTGACTTTATTTTAATAGTCATAACCTAGACAAAAGAAACCGACAGTTGACAATACCTACGTGTATTTATTTGATTGTGTTTTGTTTACAGAAGATTTCTCGTAGTGGATTCTATTTAAGAAAATGTTGGTGAACGTTGTGAATAAAGGTTTGACATATCAATGATTTGCAATTCAAAACATGAATATAACAATATGTAAATGTAAATAAGGACTTCAGTAAGTTTCTTTATAAATTTTCTTTTATGTCCGTCTTTTTATGCAGGTCTCAATGTAAATATATAACGATTCAAGTGTTTAACCAATCAAATATCATGTACAATCTGATTAAAATCATATGTTACATGGCTTCGTAAACTTCGTACTACGCCTGAACATATGAGTGTGCCGCGGTCAGGGTCACGTTCAGATGACCTTTATATATATAAATACTTATGAAAGTTTGACCAATCAGAAACACTCTTTCAAAAGGGCGCTCGGAGTTGTGACAAATATGGCGGACATTGATGAGAATGATGCGAAAGTTCTGAAGTTATTTGAGATTGATCGTCTGAAACCCGAACAGAAAAAAGATATTCGAAGCTTTATTAGAGAAGAAAGACTGTATGGCGGTGTTGCCTATGCAATTATTACCCCAATGGGTACGTTTTCCTTGGCGTCGTAGAAACGTCAGTTCCCGCCGCCATATTTGTTTTGGAAAACTAATCTGTTCGATACCCCTCGCTATTTATCTATCAACCATGATATTTCGATTCGCTGGCAAACTTTTGCCAGCGCGCCTCTGTTTGGTTCATCTAAAAGTCACTTGAATGTGACCCTGACCGCGGCACATTCAAATGTTCAGGCGGAGCCATGTAACAGATGATTTTAATCAGATTGATATCATGTACATACTATTTGAAATCCTTGTAACATGACAGATTATAAAAGTTTGATTAAAAGGCTATAGTTTGATATATTCAAATTCTTGTTTCATACAACTCTATGTAAAATTGTATTGGTTATAAAAAGCTTGCTTTCTACTTTTTCGCGTGTAACTTGGCAAATGTTGGAAATGCTGGTTTGTATTTTATATAGTCTCACTCGAATAATTTATAGTGAACTATTATAGAAAGTGAGTAATAACGCCGTGTGGGGAAAGCATGATACATTGACTGTAATTAGTGTCAATTGTCTCAGCAACGTGTGCAAGCATCGCTGCCTTCTGGATAAATATCAACCTTCCCTAACTCGACAACGCTACATTTCTAGTTTTCTGTCCTCGTTAAGCAGACGCTAGCGTTCGCCGGATTCTACCGGAAAAGACGATTCCGCAGGGGAACATATCTAAATTCGACGCTTAACACATGGTACTATACATTGCGACAATTATCGCTTCTGTATGGTTACTTAATAGGGCAACATAATAATCCTAATCTACTTCCCTCGACCTTAAGGCGAAAACGCGCAAATACGGCGGTAGCAACCGAGCGACATATCACATTCTCGCTCCCTCGCTGTCGTATTTCGGACCACGACATTCTGGTATTGTCGCGTAAGGAAGATGGTTTAAAGTCACATGAATACAACTGGTTGTTTGCATTAATGAGCGTGATCGGTCAAAAGTCAAGGTTCCTGTTTTCAAAAACTGAATTACGCCATCATACATGTTACAACACATTTTGAATATCAGCTTCCCGAAGGGAAGTTTGATGTCTTTGTTCAGCTATAAACTGATAGCGGTGAGGACTGAATTACCCGTTATCAGTATAATATGAATGCTGAAATGCTCTGCTGGGTTCTTTAGACATTTCAGTGAGACAGCACTCTAAGATCGGCATTAGTAACGTTGTACGGATGCAATCCGCCTGCATACCGCCTTCAGAACACACACATGCATTGCAAATACACGGGGATGTCCTTGATAGGACGCTAAATCCAATAAACAAACGAAACAATCTAGTAGTGTATTATCTTGGCACCCGTCTTACAAATACGTTTCGTCCTAGTTGAGTGTAGATTTGATTAAACTTGTACCGTTTCTTCTAGAAACCTCAGTCAAACCATGTACTAGATTAGATCATACTTTCTTAAATTGATAATACGTTGCATAAGCTATGCTTTCAAATGATAATACGTTACATAAGCTATACTATCAAATGATTTGGCTGAATACTTTTTGGAGATATTTGTTTTTTTGTTAATGTTGTCTTGAGACTTTTGTAAATCATATGCAATTCAAAAGTAGCTTCAATTTCAACATTTATAAAAAATATCACTGACTGGACATTAACCTATTGAAGAAAAGCAATAGAGCTGGATCCTATCCCCGACAGCTTACCGCAGGCAGACTAACCAATTACCTTTTATTATTTTTCATCGCAGATGTGTGAGGCCGGACGCAGCTGGGTGAGTGGAATGGCGTGGTCGGTGTGGTACATACTGGTACTGCAAGCCTGGTTCACGGCTCCTGCGCTGTCCAACTGTGATTTCCCTTCCTACCTGCCACCGGGCGTTGTATGGACTGCTACATATAGGAACAAGGGCTACCTCACACTCTACTTCAAACAGAACATGATCGATGCAATGTATTGCCCGGGCCCCGACCAAACATGCGTCAAATACGAACGGAGTTGTATTCAGGAGGTCGAGGCGGGCAAATATCTGGTGAAACATCAACCCAAGGGACGAGACAGCTTCAACAGTCATGCTGAGTTCATGTGTATGCAGTTCATCAAGCGATCAGACTATATCGTTCAGTTTAAAACATCTGCAAAACTCAATTATCAGAATCCAGATTTTTGTTCAGAAGAGAATTTGAATTTAGACCACTGGCCCATATTGTCCCCATCCATGATGAAGAGCCCTCCGATTACATGCCCTATAGTGGGAGGCTACAACATGCGTATTCACGGGCCAGAAGGGGATATTTGTCCGGGCAAACTGGTGCTACCTCGCATGGAAAGTGAATGTGAGGATGGCGACGGTATTCGATTCGACTTCCGGTACAACGAATGTCTTCACCCTAATTTAAAAATGCGTATACAACAGAGCGTGAAGTGTGTTACCTCATGGGATTACGGCAAGTATACGTTCGTCATCCTTCGGCCAGATACAGACGAGTTTGAGGCATGGTGTCTACGCATCACACGGGAAAGCGTAGGTGAAGTGAAACAGATCCATCTTTTCATGGACCCTGTGTGTGATCCCGGGACAGGCAATGGTCGTGGTCAAATCACGAAAACGGACAATTATCTGTCCATAACACTCCAGAAAATCACCATCCCCTCTGTGTGTGCTAACGAGTTCGAGGGATGCAATGACCGGCGGTTTTGCGACAACGAAGTAGTCGAGTTCTGTCATCTGTCTTGCAATCGCTGTGAACCAGAAACAGAGCCGTGTACTTTCCAGGAAAACATTAGGGGATCGTGGCTGCTAGACACTCGCGATGGGCCACAATACATGAATATTTCATCGTACAAGCTTTTTGTTCCAAAATTTGGTAGATTCCATTGTTTAGCTAGAAATGTGTCGGAAAACGAAAGTCGAACAGCTCTATTACATGTGTTTGATAACGGTTGTTTTCCACGGTTCGCATGTCTTGAAATGTACCAGCCTGCCACTTCCGTGCGTCAGTTTCGACTCAGCAACCGCGTAAACTGGCCTCACTGGCCAATAGACGAAGCGGAACGATTTACCTGTAAAGACAACAAATTTAAAACACTCATTGAAATGGGAGAATCGACAAGAAAAGTAAATATTCCGACTCAGGTGTTATTAGAAACAAAGGTACACTACAGCACTAACTGTAAACTACCTGACCACCTTGGCTTGAAAGCCAACTCACTTTTCTTCCGAGAAGGCGACAAGTGTAACGGATGCTTGATATACGACCCGGCAACGAGACCAGATAAGATTGACATTGTGAAAATCAACTGTGAGGAAGCGGCCAACCATATTCAGTACCTCTGTCTGGCAACGCTGGACCTCGGCCCCAACACCAGGGGTGTGGTCACAGGGACCAAGCCCGACCGCGAAGGCCGGATGACCAAGTTTTATTGTTGGGTATTCACATTGGACGGCACCAAGCGTAAGATTATAGTTCTCAAGGCAGCTGACTGCAATATGCTGTCAGTGGAGAAGGTCCTGGAAGGCCTCTTGACGCCTGAAGGCAAGTTTGACGTAGTTGATTCGGTACCGGGAGCTTGTCCTCCTCTTGGTAATGAGGGTCAGTATAACTCCGTTAATATGATACCAATCGAGGAAATACCACTAACAATTCATGAGCGATCCACAAGCCGACCCAATTCCATCAATACCAAACCGCCAATTACTAATGTACAGAGTCAACATACAGACAATAAGTCAGCCTCTTCCAGGGGTTCTTATGCTAGCAGTATCGTAATGGCCCTCATAATCCAATCTTTACTGACGAGGAAAAATCTCGCCTAGCCAGCTCCGCAAGTACTTATCCGAATCGAAGTATGTGTCTCTATGGCGCAACGTTTGTACGGCACCGGCTGGTGGTTAGGAGTACAAATCACATCAACAATGCCTCAGTCTAAAGTGTGTTCTCAGCCATGTTAATCAGGTTTAATGATAATGTCATGTTTGATCAAACAAGGGCACGTCATTGAATGAGCATGAACGCTTATATGAACAGAGGAGAGCAAATAAGTCGCTGAGTGGAGCAATCCTGAACTTTCAATATATAGCCTTGTAGACAGATATAAATAGAATATATATTTTTTCTTGAACATTTTGATAACATTGTTTTGGAAGATGTGTAGGTGAATTCTAATGACATGGTTTCTTGAAAGGGACGTAACTCCCACTAATTGCTGCTGATGTTAGAAATTGTCCAATTTTACGATGATCCCTTAGAAGCTGTATGTATGTTGTCTATATTAAGAGACTATATTAAATGCGCTGAGAATGGCTCAAAGATTCCACAACAGATAAGCAGAAAGTAGTCAGGGAACGAATAATATATTCCATATTTATTATGAAATCGCAGAATTCAAATTCTTCTGAATAACGTCAAGTTGTGTAATACGCAGTGTGATGTACACTAAGGTGGGTCTAACGTGTGTCGGCCTTAGTATGCTGATCTGACCGGACAACACAATCGTGTGAAATTATTAGTCATCCAGGTCACAGTAGGTTGCCAAAAAAAACAAAAGTAATCAAATCACTTTAGAAATGGGAGATACGTATTTTATTCTCCTTTTTGTTATATGCTAAATTTCTTTTGCTATTTTTATTTTTTGATGTTTGGTGTTTATTGTTTAATTTGTATTAATAACAGAAGTAATGTTTTATTGTGAAATGCTATGGATGATACTTATGTGATTCCGACATAGTTCTTACAAGCGAAAAACATTTTAAATAGACCAAACCTTGAACTTATAAATTTAACTTTAATGCTTGTGATGGCGGTTTACAGTGGTCGAAAGATTGGCTCAATTGGTCATTATGATCTGGTAAATATGACCAGTGAATCACTGGGGTCTGGAAGCTGTTATGCAGGCATCAGAGTAAATAGGTATAGGTTTGTAATACTATGTAAAACATAGTACAAATTAGTAGTTTAGCATGTTTACATTGTACTATGCTATTCTTATATGGTTGTGTCATAGTTGACACGTTGTAATATATATAGATGTTAATAGTCTTAATGTTGCCAAAACTGTTTTTAATTTGTATCATTTGATGAGCTGTAATTTCTTCTTTGTTTGTACCTGGATTTGGTTTTGTACGTAGCCGACTAGATGTTAATACTTCGGATAATCTTTCTTACATGTGACTATTATCAGAGGAAAGAGTAAGCAGGTCAAAGATTGAACTGTTAGTGAGACTGGGGTTGGAACATAGCCATGGGACAGCAAAGCTATAGGCTCGGGAGGTTTTATACAATATTGGTGGTTATATAGACCCGCACAATTATAATCCCCCGGGTGTTTCTATGTTGGTGGATGTATACACTATTGGTGGTTATATAGACCCGCACAATTATAATCCCCGGGTGTTTCTATGTTGGTGGATGTATACACTATTGGTGGTTATATAGACCCGCACAATTATAATCCCCGGGTGTTTCTATGTTGGTGGATGTATACACTATTGGTGGTTATATAGACCCGCACAATTATAATCCCCGGGTGTTTCTATGTTGGTGGATGTATACACTATTGGTGGTTATATAGACCCGCACAATTATAATCCCCGGGTGTTTCTATGTTGGTGGATGTATACACTATTGGTGGTTATATAGACCCGCACAATTATAATCCCCGGGTGTTTCTATGTTGGTGGATGTATACACTATTGGTGGTTATATAGACCCGCACAATTATAATCCCCGGGTGTTTCTATGTTGGTGGATGTATACACTATTGGTGGTTATATAGACCCGCACAATTATAATCCCCGGGTGTTTCTATGTTGGTGGATGTATACACTATTGGTGGTTATATAGACCCGCACAATTATAATCCCCGGGTGTTTCTATGTTGGTGGATGTATACACTATTGGTGGTTATATAGACCCGCACAATTATAATCCCCGGGTGTTTCTATGTTGGTGGATGTATACACTATTGGTGGTTATATAGACCCGCACAATTATAATCCCCGGGTGTTTCTATGTTGGTGGATGTATACACTATTGGTGGTTATATAGACCCGCACAATTATAATCCCCGGGTGTTTCTATGTTGGTGGATGTATACACTATTGGTGGTTATATAGACCCGCACAATTATAATCCCCGGGTGTTTCTATGTTGGTGGATGTATACACTATTGGTGGTTATATAGACCCGCACAATTATAATCCCCGGGTGTTTCTATGTTGGTGGATGTATACACTATTGGTGGTTATATAGACCCGCACAATTATAATCCCCGGGTGTTTCTATGTTGGTGGATGTATACACTATTGGTGGTTATATAGACCCGCACAATTATAATCCCCGGGTGTTTCTATGTTGGTGGATGTATACACTATTGGTGGTTATATAGACCCGCACAATTATAATCCCCGGGTGTTTCTATGTTGGTGGATGTATACACTATTGGTGGTTATATAGACCCGCACAATTATAATCCCCGGGTGTTTCTATGTTGGTGGATGTATACACTATTGGTGGTTATATAGACCCGCACAATTATAATCCCCGGGTGTTTCTATGTTGGTGGATGTATACACTATTGGTGGTTATATAGACCCGCACAATTATAATCCCCGGGTGTTTCTATGTTGGTGGATGTATACACTATTGGTGGTTATATAGACCCGCACAATTATAATCCCCGGGTGTTTCTATGTTGGTGGATGTATACACTATTGGTGGTTATATAGACCCGCACAATTATAATCCCCGGGTGTTTCTATGTTGGTGGATGTATACACTATTGGTGGTTATATAGACCCGCACAATTATAATCCCCGGGTGTTTCTATGTTGGTGAATGTATACACTATCGGTGGTTATAAAGACCCGCACAATTATAATTCCCGGGTGTTTCTATGTTGGTGGATGTATACACTATAGGTGGCTATATAGACCCGCACAATTATAATCGCCCGGGGGTTTCTATGTTGGTGGATGTATACACTATAGGTGGCTATATAGACCCGCACAATTTTAATCCCCGGGTGTTTCTATGTTGGTGGATGGATACACTATAGGTGGCTATATAGACCCGAACAATTTTAATCCCCGGTTGTTTCTATGTTGGTGGATGTATACACTATAGGTGGCTATATAGACCCGCACAATTTTAATCCCCGGTTGTTTCTATGTTGGTGGATGTATACACTATCGGTGGTTATAAAGACCTGCACAATTATAATCCCCGGGTGTTTCTATTTTGTTGGATGTGTACACTATTGGTGGTTACATAGACCCGCACAATTATAATCCCCCGTATTATAATTACTGCTTTCTTTCTTTCTTTTTTTTTGTTAAATAATAAATAACAAAATCTGTTTTTTGGTTTTTCACTTTTTTATTAGCGTTAACTTTTATCACCCAACACTACACATTTTGGCCTTAGTTTCTGCATTCAAAAATTGGACATGAAGGAGAGCCTATAAAAATTCCTACAGAAAGACAGTCCCTATGCCTGTAAATGAAAGTCACTGAAATGCACTATTAAACTAAAAAGTAGGTTAAACTACAGAATGTGATATACCATTCCTCTGTTGGATAAATCTACCAATATGAGCGTCAATTTCATCCAGAAATAGGCAGAACATGTCCTTGGAAGGATACGTTACAAAGCACTGAATTAGTTTGTAGAGGTAAATTGTTTAGCCCAATTCAAACTGGAGACCTTCCCCGTTCTTGACTTCAGTGTCCTTCCCTACAAGTGCAGGCTTGACCATTACCACCCCTGAAATGAACATTTAATTAGGAATGTGTTATTGAAGTAATTGAATGAGTGTTCAAAAAAATAGTTTGATGCTGAACCATTTGATTGGCTTGAGCGTAATTGGAGTAAAATATATAATGGCATAACTTACCTAAGCACTCTGCATATTTGGATATTTTTAATGGACGAATATATGGATATCACTGCCAAGATGGTTTTCAGAGAATAGTCATTTTTCCTCTTGATACAGCAGGATGTTGTAAATGCACAAAATATTTGTGATACCCAATCCGAAAATATCTGTTTCACAGAAACAATATATATTTTTATTTAAATTAAAGCGAAACTGACGGCATACTATTCAATTACTTCAATAACACATTCCTAAGGTGATCAGAAAGAATGGACTGCCCTGCCAATCACATCCAAGGGTCGCAGTTCCATAATATAATGTTGTTTGCAAAACAACAGTAGATCGATGTTTAATCACCCAGAGAAGGCAGATAGATGGTTAAATAAGGGAGTTTACTCCTGCAGTGGCCCGTTGTCGTCTCACCCACTCAGACTATAGAGGCCGCATATATCATATCTTTGTTAAACTTTTTATCGTCTATGGCGAAAAAGTACAAGGCGAAATGACTCCTTTGTTTATACTATCACAAGCATTAATGGATGCGTTTCAGTCCTTATATTAACTTTCAACATAACAAGGATTTTCTTGTAGGATTTCTTTCGGTCCAGATTATTTATTTACATTTTTCTTTGTGCAATTCGTAGATAAACTGAACAACCCAAAATTCCTGCATTGTTAATGTGTTATAATCCAGTAGCAGTAAGATTCCTGTATTGTTAATGTGTTATAATCCAATAGCAGTAAGATTCCTGTATTGTTAATGTGTTATAATCCAATAGCAGTAAGATTCCTGTATTGTTAA